TTTTTAATATAAGCTAAAAAGAGCTTTTAAAGCTTAATTTAGCTTCTAGCTAAATACAACTTACAAAAAAAGCACCAACCTTTCCAGCTATTTTCCCTTCTGCGAGACGAAGTTCTCTGGTGTAGTAAATCTAATATTTGAGTAATTACTGTGGGAGATTCCAGGATGTGCTTCATTATTAAGGAAAAACAACAAGAAACATTAGATCTAGTGCCTCAGCAAAATAATAAACAGTAAAAGTTAACAAGTCTGAATATTGACCCAAGATATGATTTAGTCACGAAATTCGGCTGTTGAGAAAGGGAAAGAAAAAAGGAAATTTTGGACGTTATCAATTGATTCTGGACCCTTAAAATGATTATTCTTCTACTTTCACTCCTCATCCACTGAATGATTTGTTTTAGATGAACTAAATTTTATGTCACGTATATAAGTGATACCAGATAGATAACTCTTCTTTTAAACTTTCCAGAAGTGCTTCATGGACTCAGTTCTCAGCGAGAGTCAGAATCGTGACGGTAAAAGAGTATTTTTCCCTGGAAGGCGCCGATTTTGTTCCTTCCTACGCAGTATCAAAACGGCCTCAGAGCTTTGTGAATTAGCAGCCTTAGCGGGTCCCAAAAAGATGCGGTCAAGGTGGTTGTAAATTTTTTTCATTAGAACTTTTCTTGGCTTACATGACCATTATAAAGAGCTTGCTTGAGCTTAAATTTTCGCTTATGAAAATTTTTTGTATCTCCCCATCACGGAAGGTACGGCATGCGGTTGTACAAAGCTTCAGCAATGGATTGAAGTGCTATTGGAATTAGCCAAAACCGTGAAACTTGTCTGAATTATATGATACGCTAATCCTTATGATAACTAACTTATACCGTGAAATGTTGTGACAAGTTTGGAAGTGCTTATCGCTGAATTAAAGGCACCAATTCTATCGTTCGTAAATGATGGCGTCGTAATGATTGAGAATATGTACGTACCCGTTAAATCTAAGTAAAGTCTCTTAGAGTGAGGCCCAAATTCGGCAAGAAAGAGTAATTGAAGATAACCACATTTTTTTACACAGCGTAGCATGCAGCTGGCCTGATTCTTCACTTTCGACTAGATTGCTGGAAGCTCAGCCAATAAAAGTAATTCTTTGATTTGTCTTCATACAAGTGGGAGATCATATGGGTAGAAACTCTCTTATCTGTTTGATAATCAGCATTTAACTGGCTTAGTATAAAATTTATTTTTACAAGTTCGCAAAGTTATCGATGCGAACAAGGAAAAAAAGGAATCTTTACCTTCTGCGATTTTACCCCACTGTGTAATACGTCGAACACAGCAACAGGTGGTATATTCACTAGGTGAGTAATCAATGGAAATGAATCAAATCGTACACCCATATCATCACGACCGAGAATCTAAGTACAAATTATACAGTTATTATAACTTATGTCAAATTGCTGCAAGTAATTACCTGCGTTAAGTGAACTAATCTTTCACCACAGTTACCAACATATTTTTCTCCCTTTATACACATGTCGGTTAGTTCCTCCCTAGAATCAAAAATAGAAAAGCATGACTATAATGTTCCGGAAGGCTATTGGATATCCCAAAATTGTTAATTTTATCCATGCCTTGAGAGTCCTTCGAAACTTCTTCCCGTATAAATCGCCCAGGTAGCAAGAACTGCAGCGCATACGATGGACGAGCTGCTTGACAATCCAAGTGAAGAAGGAATCCAACCTAAATGACAATCTTTGGGATAACTATCATGCGCTATAAGTGAGTGACGGTTTGTTATGATGTACTTGCAATGGTAGTTTTGAATATAACACCGTTTCATGACGGCATGGATGGACTTTGCTACTGAGCTAAAAGATTATAACGCAAGGGCAAGCACGCTTCCGCAAAATATTCAAAGCATCAAAATGTTTTTTTTACAAACCTTCCATTAAAAGATCAAAACCAGCAGCATCAATCTTTAGTCGATCTACAACACTTTTCCATCCA